CGAACGAAAAAAAAAATAGCATTAGCGCAGCTTCGCAAGTCGGACGCGATTTCGCTCGCTTATTTATTCGCAGCGACCTGCGCACGAGATAGGCGCGGGAAGAATTGGCCGCTGAATCATCCCCAATCAGCCGCGCGATGAATCATATTGCGTATCGCGATTTATCCCTCGAGCGAGCTCTGCCCGCGCACACGCGTGTCTCCGACTCGCAAAATCACGTTCACGTGTTGTGTCGGCGCCTCTGGCGCAGGACACGCTTCGGATTTCCACGTCACGGATAAGATCTCCTCCTCGCGTCCGCGAGTACCGGATTATTTTCCGGCCGAGGATACGCTCCGAGGCGCGTAGAAACGTCACGCTTCTTCCCCGCGGCGACCTTCCCCCTTTACCGTGCCGTGGTTTGACATGAGTGAGTCGCACCGACAGGCTGAATGAGGTTGTCACGGGGACTGTGGATTCCACGGTGTAGATATCACCGTGTCTGGAAACCAACAACTGTTAGCTCTGGTGTGCGTTTCAATGATACTTCACGTTAGACGCCCACGCTCGAGCACGTACTTCCACTCGAGAGAGAGAAAGGGGGTGGAGGACGTGCGACGAGGGGCAAGGGGGTGTGGGCCTCTCGTGAGAGAGAGAGAGAGAGATGAAAAAAAGAAGTTAATCAGTCGGGTAAGGATGACGTAGGCGAATAGCGTGCAAAGTAGCTTATTTGTTATAGCGTTTCAAGACGGTAATTGTCGCTCCGGACGAATAAATACAGCTCTGTGTAAGCGGAATCATCAAGACAATCAGGCGCACGGCATTCCTCTGTGAGAGGCATATCCACGCGTTTATTCGTCTTTAAAATCTATGAATGGGAGCCATTCATTCCCATTTACGTTCTTATCATTCGATAATAGCTGATGCCGCGGCATTCCTCGCCACTACTCGCGTCTACTCGAAAGTCGAGTGTTATCGTTTTTCCCTCGTCTCTTCCTTTTTTCAGGAGGATCCTTTCCTCTCGAGCGAATAAAACTCTCTGGCAGAGTGTTCGAATAGAAATAGGATTGGAGTAAAATGACGATTGTCTCATCGATGGTATTTCCGGCTACTACACGGAAATCGGTTCTCTCTCTCTCTCTCTCTCTTCTTTTTCTTTTTTTTTTATTTCTAATTTTACGAAAAGTCGGCGAGAGAAGTCAGCCGAGTCTCGATCTCGTTTGACTCGGAATTTTCGGAGAGATAGCTCGCATGTGAGAATCGCTTGTATAATCGGTCGGCACTTCCACGTTTCACGAGCGCGTATCACGCACGTAAGAGCCGCGGCTTCACGCGCGTGCGTTTATGCAACATTCCGCGCGGTCGTGTGTATTACACACCGACGAGATCCCCGATGTCGATGTGCTCGTACCAGGCTTGCCCGGGGCATAAGCCCGCGACACTGTCGTGAGTGAAAGTTATGCCGTCTTCTCTAGGGTTCACGTGTAGCATCGGCATGACCTACGATTATAAATATCGTCTTCGAGCCGGCGGTAGCGGGCCAGAGCAAAAAGCCGTTTCCTGTGTCGAGAAGGAAGTATCGAAATGGGCTCTGCCGATTAAGGGGCGCAAGGATCGGATCTAATGATAATTTAACTACTTCAATTGCAAACGGGAGGATTTCGACAAAAAAAAAAAAAAAAAACCCGATAGAATATT